TATGGTAACAGTATTCCAGGACAGGTCGAATCTGTGCCTTATAGATCATAAGCAGCTGACTGGAAGTGAAATAGCTCCTGGCCCGAAACAGAAAACCAAGTTTTTGGGATGCACTTTCAGCAGTTGATCTCACGTTATTTTCCCAAGAAAGGTTATTGCTGATAGTAATCCCAAACATCGAAATGGATGTCTTCAAAGGTATGGTTACAGAACATCGTGATTTGATAACTAAACTTATTCTATAGTCCCTTTGCCGGCGGCGCGATCGCGTGATTGGCCACCGCTGGGTTCTTTTCTTTATGGAAACGTAAAAAACGTTGCGCAAATAATTTTAATTACGAACGAAAACTAAAATGGAAAGTGCTATAATAATAATAAAATAGTAGTATTCATAATCAGTTGATAAGTAAAAATATTGACTGAAAACGACAATTATAAAGAAGATGAGCTACAGTTGGATAAACTTGATATACTGTTGTCTATAAAAGAGTGGGGAAAAACATTGGATCGAATGAATAGATTGATCCCACACAAGAATTTGAGATTCTTGCATTCTATTTATATATATTACCCCAGAAATGCTCAGAAATGTCTTAAGCAACTAAAAGCAGAGGATATCTTTGATTAGAAAATAATGGTTATGATTTTTTTTATGATTTTGAACATTATTTGTGATAGATGTTATTTTTTTCAATTACTGTTCTTGTTGTCAAAGTTTAGTTTTCAAGGTTATTCGTGTAAGAATCCATTAACATAACATAAACACTGTCTGTATAAGTTAATCGAGGAGGTGGTACATTCATTTTACTTGGTTCTTTGGGATTTTCTCTCCTCGTTTCTATAAAATAAAAGTATTCGTATTATTTCAATATATTTGTAGAGGGACAAATCAGATGATTTGCCCCAAAATGTCACTGCGTTTAACAAATTTTTCAGGGAGTCTAAAAGAAAAATCCAGTAGCTTGTCAGTGACAATTTGTTTGAAAAAATTTTTCGAAGGAAAGAAATATAGATATATTGAAAAAATATCGAATTTGTACTTATCTTTGGACGTTTCGGGACCGATTCTGCTCCCGTTCTCAACATGTAAATGCAAATTATTTTTCTTTGAAAGTTGTGCTGCGTATATAGTTTGACACTTTTCAGTGTCATACTGATTTTGGCATTTGAATGAGTGATTTGTTAAACGCAGTGACATTTTGGGGCAAATCATCTGATTTGTCCCTCTACAAATATATTGAAATAATACGAATACTTTTATTTTATAGAAACGAGGAGAGAAAATCCCAAAGAACCAAGTAACATAACATAAACAATTTGAAGTGGTGCATTGAATAATTTAGTGATTTTTTTCAACTTTCCAGTATTGAATAACTACATCAATGTGTAACACCAAATAATCAGAAATAAGTGGAACTGATGGTATCTCCTCTTTGGAATTTTCGAAAATACATTGAATTCAGAATGAAAAAAGCTGTCAGAATCTGTGAACACATAATAAGAACCGTATTTGAAAAAAAAAGTTGATGATATAGTTTTTCAGTATCTCTATTAACGTAGAAAAAATAATAGATATTCGAAAAATTTACTATTTTCGGTGTAACTGGAAAATTAAAAAACAATTTAGAAAATGTTTGAATGCCGTTGGTATGACCTTCTGATTGCGCAACTTTTTTCCCATTTAACCGAATTCTTATCTTTTCTCGTTTCAGAGATCCCCATGCTGTGAAACATTGGTCACACACTTCATAAACAGTATGAGTATAGGCAATGGGCGAGTGGCCTGATAATGAATTATTAGTATTCAATTACTCCACTGTGTCCTTAGGAACCTAAATAAATTTTTGCAACACTTCTCACGCTTTTTTTATGTAGATACTAAGTCTATGCGTCGTTCTGAATTGTTGAATTTCAGAGCTCATTTCAAAGGAACCTTAATGGCCTCCATTTGGCGATACCTCGTATAAATGGTGACGCCAGTTTTCATGCCGTTTTGTTATTGGTCAGATAATCTCCCTAACAACACGAGTACGTCCCAGAGACGTCCTTTATTTTCTACGAGGACGTCCCAAGGATATCCCAGGGATATTCCTTCGACGAAAGAAAAAATAATGTAGGTCGAGTACGGATTGAACCCGGGACCTTTGGCTTATCAGGCACGCATCCTACTCCATTAGCTATTGAGCCTCCTGAAGATTTATGGACTAAACAGATTTATGAACAGGACTTAATTACAGTAACCTGAATAAATACAACTTTGTTAGGATTTGGGTATAATTATTATATCATTCTTGGGTGTTTAAAAATGAGGGGCATTATATGCATGTAAGATTTCTGTTTGCGAAAAATGGTTATCTCTTAAGAAGTTCTGAAACTTCATTCTTTATTTTCATTACGATTATTTTCCGGAAGAAAAACAAACATTTTCAAAAAAAATGCAACTTAATACTTTGATGAAATTCAATGACTCTGATGTGAATGGATATCAGATATTCCAGGGACACGAATAGGATAACCTAGGGATGTACCGGGCGGAATGTCTACTGGACAACCACTGCGCGACATCCCCTGGATGCCCCAATCATGTCCTTGTACCGCGGGACAAAAAAAACGTACCTAGGACATCCCAGTGTTGTTAGGGCTTCCATTTCTACTCATGAAGCAACGTTGTCAAGTCACCAATTATAATCGAGTTATCAAAGAGACGTTAGAGTCCTGTCTTTGAATAAAACATAATAGAAGGAACTCACGATGTTTTAGTTCATTCTTGACTTTTTCGAGCAACCATCAGCAAGTCCAAATATTCTTAGTCTCCATAACAAAATATCATATGAATGTTGGAGACTTGACAACATTGTACTGAATGCTGAGAACTGATAAGACCACACCCACAAGTCGTGCGCCGTGGTTGTCACGTTCACCGATTCAAATGTCCTCTAGTGTGAAATAATATAATTATTATACAGGGTGTTAACAAATAAGTGTCACAACGGAAAACTGTAGATTCCTCATGAAAAAAGAAACATTTTTTCCCTCTCGAAATTTTTCTCCGGGATAACGTTTCCAAGATACAGGACGTCAAAAAAATACAAAAAAATTGTTTTTTGCTACTATATCAGGAACCGTTTGAGCTACGGAGTTAAGCCTTCGTACACACTTCATCATCAATAATGACTACTTTTAGCTAGGGCTCTTGATCAATTTCCTTGGACATGTCAGTGGAGGAGAATTCAACGCCTCGTAAGGGTTTAACCTCCCAAACATTTATGCCACTAGAGAAATTGTAATTCTCAAAGTAGATTCTGTAGCGCCAATATTTTTCACACAAAAAACGTCCTCTTGTCTCAATGCTCTAAAGTGAACAGTTTCCGCGAAAAATGGCTCTTTATGAATAAGAACATACAATATCCTGAAAATCTCCAAAAATCGTCTTAAAATCCATTGGAAATAAACACCTCAGAACTGTCTAATAATATGTTCAATAAAATGTCAGGTTCTTGAGTATGCTGGTCTAGATGCTGGTTTTCAGATTGTTAAGTTCATCAAGTGTTGTAAAGTGTGTTCAATTAAACTGAACATTTTTGATTTTTGACGCCCTGTATCTTGAGAACGGAAGCCCGGAGAACAATTTCGAAGAGGAAAGAAATGTTTATTTTATTATGAGGAATCTACAGTTTCCCGTTGTGACACTTATTTGTCAACACCCTGTATACACAAATTTATTATAAGTAATAGCTCATTAGGAGTATTACCAATACTCAATTGAGAACTTATGGATTATCAAATAACTAATATTTCTGAAGTTCCTAATCGTATCTTAACATATGGCAACTAATGAAATCCTGGCGTCAGATTTCACTGGCGGTGAATCTCTAGCCGATTGAAAATTTCCGTGGCATTATTGATGATTTAAGCACCTAAAAATCGACCAAAAAATTCTTGAAAAATATAAAATTGAAAGGTATTTGAGTGATGATTCTATTTAAGAAATGAAAAAAAAAATAGTCTACTCGCCTATTGACATCACACTCCACATATCCATCCGTATAAATATGTATCCTATATTCGAAGCATTTCAGAAGGTCGATAATGGTGATTCATATAAAAACAAAATAGTCTCATCCTGAAACTCTACGCTGTAATAATTCATAAACACAATGATAAATAACATAATATTGCGAATAACACCTGTTCATCCAGCACGAGAAATAAGTGTTTTGTGAAATATATACTGAGAACTTCAAAAACATACAACAAACTTGAATATAACTTCAAAAACAGACACACTTCATATTCATCCCCTTACGAATGAAAACTGCAAATAATCCCAGTAAGAACTTACTTAGACAATTAAAACTAAACCCATAAATTCACACTTTCTTGCAAAACAATTCTTGTGCTGTACTTATCGCAATAATACTGATTATTTTCTTGTAATATTTCTTGCTAAGTCTTCTGGAACATCTGTGTCCTATTTCGGCATTCGAATTAGATGAAATTCATCGTACTATATACCCTAAGAATTTTAATTACCTACATGCAATAGAGGATCACTAATAATTGACAAACCCTCTTGATGATAACTTTGATATGAAGCTTTCATAACTAGAAATCCAGAAAAACTTCACTTCTTTCACTAATATTCACTTGATTTTCAATGTTAATTCCCTGCTGCTCAATAACTCTATGGATATACTGATTTGGTTCAATAAATCACTAATCATTATCAACTCACCATATACAGAGTGTTCTAAGAATAACCAGTCGAACTTGTAGAATCGATAAAATGGATAAAGATATTTCGTACGTTTTTGTTTGCTTTGTGGTAGAGAAATTGGTTTCCTGCCTGACCCTTCCCAAGAGGAATAATGAAAGTTTAAGAAACGTTTTTTTCGCTAGAAACAGATTTCAACAGTTTAATTCAAGATTTATCATCGACTCATAGTATTTTGAATTCTAGTTTTGTAGGGTATCTATGGGCAAAATGAAAGAAGAAGATAAAACAAAAAAATTATATTAAATATTTAAAATCAGATAAAATATGATGTGAAAGTCAATCCTTAAAACTGAAAAACTCATTTGAGATTCCCAATTTTGATTGTTTTTCTCACTGCATTATTATACCCTTCCTTATATTGATACCAAATATCGTTCTTAAGGTTTGGTCCCGTTGGTCCTGAAACAAAATTGAAATAATTTATAAAGGATGATTGACTTTACAACACTATATAAACAAAATTTTGAATCATATGTTGTTATATAGGACAATCTCCCAGTCAAGTTGAAAATGGGCCATCCTGTATGATGAAAAGTTTATTAAATAATGAACATGAATACGTGACCAAAATATCAACATGAGGGAGGAAGAAACCTGCAGAACACGATAATTCTGATATCTTGGACTATGGACGAGATGGAGGGGCTCCAAAATAATTTTTGGCAGATATCTCGTAAACCAAGCAAAATACAGGAAAAAATGTGATGATAATTAATAGAGATAGCTGATTAATTCTGTTATTCAAGTCGATATTAAAATACGTTTTTTGAGTTTTGAGTTCGCAATATTGGATCTACCATCTTGAATTCCCAAATTTTGACGAAGGAATCATAATTTTTTCGCCCGGTATATTGGTTCCATCGTCTTGAATTTCCAAATCCCGCCCTTTCCAAATTTTGACAAACGAATGATAATCTCCGACCCCGAAAACACCCAGATAACAATTTTGATAATTACAATACTCGTCCGCCATATTGGGTCCACCATCTTGAATTTCTTAATTTTGACGAAAGAATCATAATCTCCGACCCTGAAAACCACCAGATACAAAGTTTGAATAAAATCGGATCCTTATTACAAAATCCGCCATTTTGGATCCACCATCTCGAATTTCTCAATTTTGACGAAGAAATCATAATCCCCGAACACGAAAACCCCTAGGTACCAATTTTGAAAAGAATCGGATTATATTTACAAAACTCGTCCGCCATATTCCCTTGTTGGTTTTCTGTTAGCACCATCAAGGTTGTTAAAGAGAAGAATAAATATCACTCAAAATGGAAAAAATACCATAACGACATGGATTATCTCACCTTCAAAATCTTACGTGGACGTTCCAAATATTTGATAGAACTTGACTACAAAAATTACATAGATTCATGTGAAAAAAATATATCATCCGATCCTAAACAATTCTGGCATTATGTAAAGACAAAGAAGAACTCATCCATTAGGATAACATCTGTTATTATTAACGATGATATTGTGACGGAAGGTCAAACAATTTGTGAAATATTTGCTGATCATTTCTTATCAGCTTTCAGTGAACCTTTGAAAAACCAAGGAAACAGGGTATCTACTCGCTTTAATTCCCAAAATATAAGTAACTATTACATACCAGAAAACGTTATCAAATTTAAAATACAATCCCTCCCGAATAAGGGCCCTGGCCCCGATGACCTTCCGACAAATTTCATTAAAATGTGTGCAGAGAGTTTGACATTTCCTCTCTATCTTCTGTTTAACAAATCTTTAGATAAAGGGCATTTTCCAATCGCCTGGAAAAAAGCATTCGTTGTTCCAGTTCATAAATCTGGACAGAAACAGTTACCTCAGAATTATAGACCAGTGTCCAAATTATGTATATTAGCAAAATTGTTTGAAAGTATAATATTTGAATATCTTTATCATGATGTCATGCAAATTTTGAATATACAACAACATGGATTTGTTAGAAAGCGCTCTGTCGAAACAAATTTATTCGAATATACTGAATATATATTGAAAAGCTTGAATAGCCGAATTCAAGTGGATGCCGTTTACACCGACTTCAGCAAAGCTTTTGATAAGATACATTGCTGGTACAAAAGCTGGCTCATGTCGGTGTAACCGGCTGCCTATTGAATTGGTTTCAATCTTACGTGAGTGATCGTAAACAGGTTGTTTGTATTGGCAACTATCTCTCAAGATCAGTTAACATAACGTCGGGTGTACCTCAAGGTTCACATCTAGGTCCCCTACTATTTAACATTTATATAAATGACATTTCTGAATGTTTCAAATTTTCGTATTTTCTTATGTATGCTGATGATCTCAAAATATTTCATAAAGTTTCACACTTGGACGATTGTAAGCTAATTCAAGAGGACCTTGACCGATTTTCAGAGTATTGCAGGAATAACGCCCTTTTTCTGAACCTCAACAAATGCCATCAGATGACATTCAGTAGAAATTTCAACATGATAACCAATAATTACACCATTCAGGATCATAATCTCCACACCTGTAGTGAAGTGAAGGATTTGGGAATTATCTTCGATTCGAAAATGACCTTCAATAAACATATTTCTTACATATCTAAGAAAGCGAACAAAATGCTAGGTTTCATTTTAAGAACAACTTATCCTTTTAGAAATTATAATACCTTGCGTACTCTTTTTATGTCATACGTAAATAGTCTGTTAGGCTTTGCGTCAACTATTTGGAACCCCCACTATATAATATACATGAAACAAATAGAAAGTATCCAGAACAAATTCATTTATTATGTCAACAGAAAATATTTCGATAACACTCCACAATATCACTTCGTACATCAAAAACTCAATTTGATCAGTCTTGCTGACAGAAGAGCTATTGCCGACATCAAATTTTCTTTCAAAATTATAAATGGTATCATTCATTCTCCATCTATCAATAACTTGATTTATTACAATATTCCACAATATTCCACCCGCCATTATAATCTGTTCCATACATCCATACCAAACACAAATTACTATTTGAATTCCCCTTTACATCGATGCTTGAAAAGTTATAACTCTATTTCAAACATAATAGAGATTGATATTTTTTCTGACTCTTTAACTACCTTTGTGAACAAACTTAAGAAACACTTTGTACTATCGCCTAATTGATATGTTCAGTATTTTTTTCATATACATATAAAATATTTCTACTGTATTGTATTGAATTGCAACATGACATATTTAGTAGTATATATGTGAATACTGTTTCTGGGTTCGTCCCGTTTGTATTCCTGTTTGTGAAAATAAAAATAAATAAATAAAAATATTGGTCCGCCATCTTGAATTTCTAAATGCCGCCCGAATTTTCAGATTCTGGCGAAAGAATCATAATCTCCGACCCCGAAAACCCCCAGATACCAATTTTGAATAGAATCGGACCACAATTACAAAACTCGTCCGATATATTACATCCGCCATATTGAATTTCCAGATGGTACCGGGATAAAAAGTATCCTATAATCTCCTTCTGGTTCTAAGCTACCTCCCTACCAATTTTCATCCAAATCGATCCAGTAGTTTCGGTGTAACTACGCCACTGACCTTCGAAGACGTAATGCCCTGCTATTTGCTCTAATTACGAGATTTGTTGGAGCGGTAATTCATCCGTAATTGTCTCTCGGATGAAATCTGAGCCGTTGATATTCCGTCGATGAGCCGCTCGTCATCTTGTTTGCCCACCGAAATTGCCATTCTACTGAGATTATAGACTCCCACCCTCCTATAGTAACGTTAAATGTTTGCTCAGAAATATTAGGAGACGTTAATGTTTCGAATAAATCGGTGGGAGGGTCCTTATTTCCTGGATTAGTTGGAGGGATTCGAATTTACTTTATACTGGGCTTTGTTTCGGAACCAATCGCAAACAAGATCCGAAGAAACTTTCATTCATGAGTTACTGTAGAATGGGGCTATCTGGAACTCATCTGCCAATTTGGAACATACAGGTGTTTTTTTCAAATCTGATGCCAATTCGATGAAGTTGAATACCAATAAATTTGAATCTTGGTGATTTGTTAAAATGGGATATTGAATCATCAAGATTTGTGACTTTCAGTCAATTTCCAAATTATTTGAGGTGTTGAAAAGGAATATTCTCAGATAAATTATGAACATACAAAAATGGATATATATTTATATAAAGCAATACATTGAGAATTCGTATTCTCTATGTGATGAGAATATTTACTCTTTTTCAGTTAATTCAATAGAAAACAACTACTTTCCTGGCTATATGCCACGACGAACATTGAATTATATCTATTGAACACACACGATAAGAGTTTGAAAATAAAATATAAAAATTTCTGAAATTGAGAATTTGCATTCTCCTTCAGACAAAAATATGTATATACACATATCATTCTGAATATTCAATAGAAAACAACTACTTTCCTGGCTATATGCCACGACGAACATTGAATTCATTTCCACGCCCTGTATGATGAATGTCAATTTATCATACACCCAAAAGCAAAATTATTTGAGGTTATAACTACACAGCTCGTATTCACGAAATTTTTGGGCTTTTTCGAATAGGCAACTTGTTTCATATATTGCTAATCAACAATGAGCAGATCTTCAATTAGTCGTGGTACATACAATGGAGTCTCAACTACACTTTCCTTGAAAATGAGTTGTTTATATTTTTATGAGAAGAATCAAAATGATACATGACATAACAGAAAGAATGTTTTGGTAGGGTAATTTGGAATGGTGCCGCGAAAATATAAACGACTATTTGATGCATCAATAGGACTGGATTATATAAAACAAAACAAAAATGGAATAGGCATTCGAAACTGTTTTACATAGGACAATTCCTACAAGATTTGGAGTTCCTCAAACAATAACATTGTTTAGGAGATATCGTGGTCAAAATCCGAAAGTTTTGGAACATCCGACCGTATTTAACTATTTCTGACCAGAAATCTTCAATAAAAGCCCTAATTTCTCCTGCTTCCTCTTCCTCTTGTCATACTTTCACAAGCAATGATCTACAACTATTCCTACAAAGTTATCAGCTTTACCACAAGGGTGTCACCATCAAAATTTTCGAGGAATATTTGCCAAATCTAATATATTTTACCTACGACCACTATAGAAAGTAGGCGAGAACACACGAGATACAGCCTCAGTAAGTAGCTCTGTATGCACAGTAAGCACATCGCACAGTTTTCGTTTATTCCGCCAGTATAGGTATGTCATGATTGCGTAATCGCCGTCAACAGCGGATGACATAACTGTCAAGAATTATAATTCAGACTGTTTGTCCAAACTTTTTTGATGTACTATATGGCAGTAGGTAAAGTATGGTACGTAATGCGTGTTGTAAAGCAATTACGCACTCATGGAATTTTTCATTCGTGCGTAATGTGCTTCTTATAACACGCATATTATGAAATATTCTATTATCTACACCTGAAATGTCCCGTGCATGACATGTTTACAAAGGAAATGTGTCATAAGTTCTTTGACGTGTATAAATGTTTTTTATCATTTTTTTACTTGTTTTTATTGAATGAGCTGATAAAAATAAGTTATGGATGTGAGAACTTATAAATGTGTGACATATATGCTTCATCCCTCTAAAAATCATGATATTTCTGTGAAGAGAATTTACAGAATACCATATCATGTGCCTTTTTGGTATGGTGAAATGAGATGGAATCCCACATGCAAACTCATAATCATTCCAAATTATCCCAAGCCTGGGGTTATTTGGAATGATAATATAGAAAAATGGGAAACAGGCATTAATAACCTGTTTTTTTTTTTCAAAATTTGAAATTCAGTCTATAGCATCAATAAACATCTTACCGATGGCATTGAAACAAATTTATAATTAAAATTTGTTAATGATACTACGCTTTATCAACGTGGTATGGTCGTTGCCTGAATGTTGGTCATGGTAAATGGCAATTTATTTATGAAGTGAGCATAGGTATTCATTTCCTCCTGCCTGCTCTCGGAAGTGAAAAGCCCAACGCGAATTTTAAGAAGTTGGAAAAGCAAGGATCGTTTTTGAAGGGCACTGTTTTTTCTTCTAGGTACAGGAGAAAACTATCTTAGATAGCTTAGATACCCATTCGTGTGATGAAAAGTTGGGGCGTTACAATTCATAGAAATGAAATAGGAAACTGCTGGATCTACTGATATGGGCGCCAAACTCGTTTGATACTCATATTTTCTTTAGGTGAATAACTGGAATAAGGTGAAGTAACTCGCGAGACCAGGGTAATAAACATAACTTTGTTCTCATGAAATACATATATGGGTACTCTATGATTTTATCAAACGTATATTTTCAAAGCGCATCAATTTTCGAAATCTATACGGAAATAAAATGGTTCATTTTGCAAGCCCATCAATAATTTTTTCACGCAAGAAAATGCAAATTTCTCTACGGTACTTTTTATTGGTAAAAATAGTATATTGTGCAACAAGTGAGAAAAGTACTTTTCCCCACATGTTCCACACAATGCTTTTTCTACAACTGCACTAATCCAAAGAATCCAAGTGATGTAACTTATTGGTATTCATTTTATAATGTGGCACTATGCCACATTGAATATTGTGAACAAAGAGTAGACGCCTTTCCTAGTTCTTCAAAGTATATAAAAAAGAACACTTATTTCTGTATTTTTTTTAGCTTCCATGAATTTTTCGTATATGCCAATTCATACTTTTTCCTTGAAATTTCCGGAAACAAATCCAATTTTCGCAGCTTTTCCTGTTATCTCTGTCTCTGGCGGTGTATTTATCAAAATCGTCACATCTCGGTATAAACATCATATTATTCATTATGAATTGTTGGAATAATATTTGATGGAAACTGCGATGTCTATCAAAAGCACTAAAGAAAACCTCTGAAGAATTGAAAAAAATTTTTTCTGACAGTTGTGAACACTATTCAAAGCTGAACACCAGCCAATTAAGTTTCGGTCGATTTTTGTTGATTCTCCACGGAAATGTATGGGATGGTATGGGCAATACATGGTTTTGAAACTAAGTAAGCTATGAGAAATGCGCTACTTTTCATAGCAGTAGTAGAAAAAACATATTGAAATTCTAGATTTCAACGGCATGAGTGTATTTGCCAAAGAAATAACACTTAGAATCGGAAGACTTATAAATGTGAAGACATGACATAGACATAGAATATGTCAATATGCTGAGGATATTATTATCTGAATGTTTATAGGATGTTTTACGAGAATATTCATACAATATTCTAAATATCCTAGGAACGTTCATACTTAGAATTAATGTTATTCAGGAATGATCATAGAATGTATTGTTCGGATATTCTATGTGTTTTTGTGTTTGGATGTATGACAAACTGATATTCGTCATATAGGACGTGGAAAGACATTATGAATTGAGGAAAAGCCATGCACGACGAACATTGAATTATATCTATTGAACACACACGATAATAATTTGAAAATAAAATCTTCTGAACATGAGAATTTTTATTTTCATGTTCTCCTTTTGAATGTTCAACAGATATAATATGTTCGACGTGGCAAATCGCCAGGAAAGTAGTAGTTTTCTGTTGAATATTCAGAATGATATATGTACATGTGGTAAAACCAGAAGAACAGTAAAGCAAGTAGATATGTAAATAATGTCAATTGAAATATAATTCACGACCCCAAATTTCGTTTTACTACCTTCAATAATAAAAAAGTTAGACGGGTGAGCCACCTTGGAAAACAACCGAGCATGTGAATTCTATTCATTAAAAATGTCATGTCGTTGGTCATTTGAGAACAGAACTCTTCAAGCAACACAAATGGTTTTTCATTAACAGTAATTTCAGTAGTCACAAATGGTTTAGCATTATCAGTAGGAATAGGTATTTTGATTGTTAGTTGTACAATATTGAAATCTTACCGTTAGTAGGTATAGAACAAAATTTATATGACTTTTTGTTGTTTTTGGTTTGATATCTACATTATCAGCTGTAATGATGATATGTATCTCACGATACTCTTAATATTGTATTATGATTTTATGAGCCATTATGGGTGAACAATAGTACATACCTTGTCCAGAGTTGTTCGTCGGTGATGTAATGACTCTTCCGAAGAAATCCTTTCTAACAGTCTGAAAAAAAAAGAAATAATACATAATTATTTTCTTTTCATTTGAATAATTTCTATTTTTGAGTATTATTCTGAATGCTCGTTTCATTGACCATCGATTATTATTGCACCTTTTCGGAATGAGATTTTACATTTACAGGATGATATTCGAAGCTGTGGAGTTTTCCAAAAATTTCAAATTTAATTCAATTTCTAATTTTCTTGGGGCAAAAAACATATTGCATCATATGTTTTCTCGGTACTGATCAGAAATTTTTGGCAATGTCACAAGAGAATGCATAATTTGATGCTTTTGGCTTTGTCACAGAATGTTGCATTGTATTGAGTATTCTGTGGCTTTGTGTTCCTGTCATTTTGATTGGAACGGTAGTCAAAAATCATGAAATGATGCATGATCAACATATTCTTATATATTATATATATATATATAAACAATTATGTCATTGAGTAACAAAAAAAAATTCTTGGTTTAACGAACAAGAAAATTGTGAAGCTTTCTCATGTGAGGAAACCGATTGGAATGTTTTTTGTCGATCATAGCGTGCAGAAGAAGTTGTCCTCCCCAAGTCAAGTTGCTACAGAATTTATTGTGAGATAAAACCACTGTAATTTTCAAAAGAACCAGATTTTCAAAGCGTCTTTTTCACTTTGAGATACATGTTTGAAAGATGATTACAAGGCAAATGAGATAGAATGAAGAAATATACTGGATGACGCATGAAGCCTTAATAAAAAATATGCTGCTCAGACATGACATGCAACTGACCGAGTTCATCACAATTGTAGCAGATTAATGAGTATCAGGAATTGATTTCATTTGCGGTGGATGTCTTCACAAAAGACTTGTATTCAAAAATTCAAAAGTTCATATCATCATGCAAGTGAATTTCAAGATTAATGGGGATTCCTTCTCTCTGTCGGCTCTCTACGAAAAGGTAAATAACTCAGAATAGGTATCAATTCTGGTGTAAATTTTTTTGGGATAATGCAGATAAAGCAGAATGCGTCTGATAAACATCTCTGCAAAAATATTTGCTTCCTCATGCGATGTTGTTGCTCAAGTGCCGTCGGCTTTGGAGAGTGGTGGAAATGAACTATTGGTGAAATTCCTCCCAACTGCTCTAGCGAGGGACCAAGACGAACGGGATCCATTGAGACAAAATATGAGTTTCGATATTATCTTGACATTGTATGTTTCTTTAGATGCATCCATTGCTTGGTTGCACTTATTCCTGGCTTCAACGTATTCTGCGCTAGTCGCGAAGTTAGGGTTTTGCGCCAGCGATGGTAGGCTGTTTTTTTCAAGGCAACAGCTCTAGCACATTTTTTGTTGAACCAGGGTTCCGAAGGTGATGATCTTTTCGAAGAATGAGGTATGTATGTGTCCATTCCAAGCGTGATTATCTCGGATATCCGCAGCACACTGTGAAGGATCCTTAGAGTAATAGTTATTTGTTTAACTAGGCAGCAAAGCAGTAGATGGACTGCCGTGGCTGAATTCATAGCCGAGCGTAGCGAGTCTAGGAATCCAGCTAAGGCAGTCAATCTACTTCGCTGCCGAGTTGAACATATAATTTTTTCTCCGATTGTTCATAATGATATGGGAGAATATTGTATTTGCGAATTAATACAATTCCCACAATCTCTTTATTCTTCCTGTATAGTGTTCAATTAAAATAAAATTTGATAGAAATCGCAGTTGTTGGTTTGACAATTCATGAAATTTCTGACAGTTGTGCGAAAAAATATCGGTATATTTAAATTATTATATAATGGACAGTGATAGCGACCTGGAAGTATACTTACACCTCCATTAATAAGGGAGGTGGCAAAAAATATAGAGTTGAATTTGTTGCCGGAGAAGTCTCGGATGGAATATGTAGGAAATTATAAACGATTTATGGAATTTAATTTTGCTGATACATATCAATCAGCAAAGTAACCACTTTGCTGCCTAGGCAGCAAAGTACCCACTTTGCTGCCTAGGCAGGAAAAGTAATACTTTGCTGATCGATATGTGTCAGCAAAATTAATATTTGCTGCCAATCGGAGGAAAAAGCATATTCTGTGCCAAGGAAACTCGGAGAAAAATATGCGGAGATCGTCCCAGTCTACTAAATTGTAATGCCATACAAGTCTTGGGGGTGCCAGAGCAGTTGATGGAATAAATGGGCAGGTTGTGGTGATGAGTATGTGCTCAGAATTGCCAAGTGAGGCTCGTATATATGGTGTTAGGTGCCGGACTATTAGTGAGGAACAAGTCAAGTGTGTTGGCTGAATGGTTCGACTCTTTCACGCGGGACGGTGGAGTTTTTTCATTTTCCGTTATCACTCAAAATTAGGGCTTTCCATCATCTTCATTATCATAATTATGTATCTTTTCGGTCGAATAATCGACAAAAATTCACTTACTTCTATGTATAGATTGCTTGCGGACATTTCCGTATGCAAGGAAAGACAATGCCAGAGGACGAACGGGGAAAAATGGAGACTTTATGTTACCATCCTGCCAGCGATGCTTCATATAGTGCATGATTTCGAGTGACTTCGAGATTTGGAGGGATTCTGCCGCCTGGTGTGTGATGAGAACTCCACCTTCCTGCCGATTGATCGACGGATGTCTCGTTAGCTCAATTGGCAGAGCGTTGGGCATTTGACCCAGGGGTTGTGAGTTCGACTCTCACGCGGGGCTGTGGAGTTTTTTCATTTTCCGTTGTCACTCGAAATCAGGACTTTCCATCATCTTCATTATCATATGTATCTTTTCGGTCGAGTCAACGACAAAAATTCACTCACTCCTATGAATAGATTGCTTGCGGACATTTCCGTATACAAGGAAAGACAATGCCAGAGAACGAACGGGAAAAAATGGAGACTGTATAGTACCATCCTGCCAGCGATGCTTCATATAGTGCATGATTTCGAGTGACTTTGAGATTTGGAGGGATTCTGCCGCCTGGTGTGTGATGAGAACTCGACCTTCCTGCCGATTGATCGACGGATGTCCCGTTAGCTCAATTGGCAGAGCGTTGGGCATGTAACCCAGAGGTTGTGAGTTCGACTCTCACGCGGGGCGGTGGAGTTTTTTTATTTTCCGTTGTCACTCGAAATTAGGGCTTTCCATCATCTTCATTACGAATGGTTATTGACATCTGTGGGTTCCTTCATAAGCTGCTTCAAGCCATGAGTGATGGCGAAAGCTTCGGCATTAATCAAACTTGTTATACGACGCTATACATAGTGGAGTATACTACGGCCTTGCCAAAAATGCTATCTCGGAAACTAAGCGAGATAGAGGTATAGTTACTTTGGAGGAAATGATCCCCATCGAATTTTGAGCAACTTTGGTTTTTGTGTGTGGTCTGTCTGTCTGTCTGTACTCTGTGTTAATCATAAATCGATATATCTCCAGAACCCTTTGACATATCGACTTGAAATTTTGCCATCTTATTGTACTCGAAACAATATTATGTCATTAAAATATGAAGGAAATCGGAAAACTCTAAGGTGGTTTTTCCGGGTTTTTTCGATTTTTCACCGAAAGTTTCTTGCGACCAATCTACAAATCGCAAAAGTGGTCCGATCTATTTCATTTTTTGTGAAAAATAACTCTATCAGGAAGAAACGAAGCCTTTTGAAATTGAGCAGGGTCGGAAAATTCCAAGTGGGTTTTTCAAGGAGATTTTCCGAAAAAAACGGTTCGCTTTGAAACAACATATCTCCTGAACCAATAGACTAAATCCAAATTTGAAAAATGCACCGTATGCCTCTTTTATGACGCAACAAATTATTATTCAACCATTTTTTCGTGCATCCATCGGAAAATGGAAAAACAAATGAAAATCAAAACATCAAAATTTGAAATCCTTTCAATTCAATATACACACACTGGCACAATTAGGGGAACGGGCAAAATTTACACTAAGTTTGACATCAATTTTCTCTCGAACCGATCGCTCGATTTGAATTTCTTTTTCAAGAATTGTAGATTTATTCTTCACGAATACATCTGAGAAATAACCACCTTCAAACAATTTGTCTTTATATCCTATACAGGGGTGTAAAGAAAGTACTGATTTTTCGGTATTTTTCAAGACATCCTGTGGAATGAACCACTGATAATTGAAGCGATTTCTCAACACCAAATGTAGCCCAATCTATTCCGAATATTTTCGTTTTGTATTCATCTTGATATCTCAATTATTCGAGAAAATACAGAGTTTCAAAGGAAAGGTGGATATTGGTATTAATTTTACCACCTCGAAACTCGAATTGGATCTGAGAATGTCTTTTCTTAAGTTGTTTCTGAGATAATTTCCCTTTCAAGTTGAATATTGCTCTCATTTCCACTTATTAGTCTATCGTGACAAGATTTTTTAGAAATATACAGATATGATCAAAAATAAATGTAATTTTCAAAGCCTTCATTCAATAACAATAACATCAACTTAACGAACAATACGGATTCAGAACACCAACAATAATTTCAATAACGTGTGTGACCTCCACGCGCCCTTATTACAGCAGTCATTCGTCTGCTCATGCTTTCGATGACATTATCGATCATTTCTTGAGGAAGATTATCCCAAATCTCAACTAGAGCTGCTGCTACTTGCTCGGGATTTTGTACAGCGGGAATTCTGGACCTTAATCGTCTACCCAACATGTCCCATACATGTTCGATTGGATTAAGGTCTGGCGAACATGCAGGCCAATCGATTACTCTTATACCGACTGTATTTAAAAAGTTGGAGACCGAACGAGCCACGTGAGGGCGGGCATTATCGTGCATTAAAGAAGTTTTCTCCGATATGGAGGGCGAATGGTATGACATGCTGCTGAAGAACATCTCGTATATAGCCATCTGCATTCAAAGCACCATTGACCACTACCAACTCTGTTCGTGCCCCTGAACATATTCCACCCCAAACCATGACTGAACCTCCGCCATAGGAGACAGTAGCAGTAAAATTAAATTGTTCATTTTGTTCACCTCGGCGG